CATGTTAATTTCTTGAGGAGGAACATCTTTCTCTTGAGGGTTCCAGGAAATTAACCCCTTCGGGGTTTCTCACTGCTCAGAAGAAATGGGCTTTGAGTAATCCTTTGCATCTCTGTCACCCGGGAGAGAGGTGACAAAGAGAGTGCAACAATAACTAACTTACATAGACATGTAGGCTATTTCCAACCTTTTGCTATGACAGTATTACAGATGATTGTAATGTTCTTTGTGTTTTTCTATTTTCATATCTGCATTATATCTGTAACCAGGAAAAAAAAATTGAATTTCAAAGTATCTGTCTACATTCAAGCTGCAGTGAGGACAAATTGGTCTTTTCTCCACTCCAGACCATTCTGCCCACAGACCATGGTACCTCTCTCACTTCCTGCTCAGAGAAATCAACAGCTAGTGAGCACCTACTGTGTGCCCCTGATGCAATTCAATAGCTCCCAGTCACTAATGGAATAAAGCCCCATCCCTTGGTCTGCCATTCAACACCTGCCATATTATCACATGGAGGGAATAGAAACTTCCATGTATTAAGCAGATCTTATGTGCCAGGCTCTGCAGACAGCATCGCTCAAGAATAGACCACCCTGATGAAAAATATGGATGTTAGAGCCAGACTGCCTGGGTTCAAATCTCACCTCTGCCACTTACCAACTTTCTCACTGTGCTTCTGTCTCATCATTTTTATTTATTTATTTATTTATTTTTTTGTGACTGGTAAGGGGACCCGCACTGCGCTCAGCCAGTGAGCGCACCGGCCATCCCCATATAGGATCCAAACCCGCGCCGCACTCTCCTGAATGAGCCACGGGGTCAGCCCTGTCTCATCATTTTTAAAACGGATGAGTACTGCTATAGACAGTTTGTGTCTCCCCAAAATTCATGTTGAAACCTAATCCCCAGTGTGATGGTATTTGGGGGTGGGGCCTTTGGGAAGTGATTACATCATGACGGTGGAGCCCTCATGAATGAGAGTAGTGCCCTTACAAAAGAGGCCCCAGGGTTCTTTTGTACTTTCCACCATGTGAGCTTACAGTGAGAAGCCAGCCTCACCAGACACTGAATCTGCCGGCACCCTGATCTTGGACCTCCCAGCCTCTAGAACTGTGGGAAATGAATTTGTTTTTTTTTTTTTTTTTCGTCGTTTTTGAGATCGGCCGCACCACGCTCAGCCAGTGAGCGCACTGGACATCCCTATATAGGATCCAAACCCGCGGCAGGGAGCGCTGCTGCGCTCCTAGCGCCGCACTCTCCCGAGTGCGCCACGGGCTCGGCCCTGAATTTCTGTTTATAAGCCACTGAATCTATGCTATTCTGTTAGAGCAGCTCGAGTGGACTAAGACAAGTGCCTACCTCATAGGGCTGTCGTGATGATAAAACGAGTTCTATACGTTAAGTGCACAGAACAGTGCCTAGCAGAGAGCAAGCTTTACATGAGCAATAGCTCCTATCATTGGAAAGGGCCCAAAGGAGCATGTTCAGTGACCTCCAAGGCCATGTAGCCATTAAATCTGTCCAGTTTTTCTTCTCCACAGATTCCCACCTCAAATACCCTTTGCTCACCTCTGGTATTAGTTACTATTGCTGTGTAACAATATTACCACAAACTTAGCAGCTTACAACAACACATTTACCATCTCAGTTTCTGTGGGTCAGGAGTCCAGGTACAGCTTAGCCGGGTCCTCTGCAAGGCTGTGATCAAGGTGCTGGACAGCCCTGGGGCTCATCTGAAGGCTTAACTGGGAAGGATAAGCTTCCAAACTCACGTGCTTGTTGGCAGCATTTGGTTTCTTGCAGACTGCTGGACTAAGAGCTTCCGTTTCTCATTGGCTGTCAGGCGGAGGCCACCCTCAGTTCTTTGCCACCCACCCTCTCCCTAGGGCAGCTCACACAACATGACAGCTTGCTTCTTCAAAGCCAGGAACAGAGAATTTAGCAAGACATGTTGCAATTTTATGTAACAAAAACATGGAAGTGACATCCTGTCTCCTTTGTGGTATTCTGTTGAAGTCACAGGTCAGGCCCACACTCAAGGTGGAGGGGACTACACAAGGCTGTGACCACCAGGAGGTGGAGACTGTGGTGGCCTCCTTAGGGAGTCTATCTGCCACACCTCCCAGTGTACAGAAAGCAGCTGAGGCCCCACATACCCCCAAACCCAACACTCATCTCCTACTATCCATTTTAGCCAACCCCCACCCACACCCCCACCAACTTGTAAGATCCAGTCAGGGGTATAATTGAAGCAATGCCTGGTTTGGCACTGGGAGGTTTTCCTGGGGACTCTGATCCTACAATGATACATTTTTTTCAGTTGGGATTCCAGTTGGAGATGGAGCGCACCAAACTGTCCCTTGCTCCCACACACCTCAAGGTGCTTTTCAGGTTAGATCCTTGATGGTTGTTTCCACATCAGTGGCCTCCTTCTCAACCATGATAAATGGTTATGGGCGTATTACTCGACTCTTGAGAAAGGTAATTAAGGTTGAACCGAACGATGGGCACCTGCTAGTGCTTTATATGCCTCATCTGAGTGACGCTTGGGTTAAGGAGGGAGTCTGTGGTCACAAACCTAACCAAGGAATAGCCTAGATCCAAAGCCCAGGTCTGTCTACAGAATCCAAGTGCTGACATTCGATGGCATATATTCCAGTTAAGGGTTTCTCCTAAGTCTAAGGTTTCTTATTTCCAGCCTCTAAGCACTTAGAAGTAATTACTTCCAGATAGGAAGTAATGTGATGTAAAATAGACACAAAAAAGCTACTTATTCCTGAAGATCCTTTGATGCATTCTCCTTACCCTTATTCAATGTGCAAGAGGATGCTCAAATTTCATTCCCTTTCTCCTCTTATACTGTTTATTAGCTAGAGTGTTTATTTCCATAACCAACAATAAAAACTGCATCTTTCTTACAGAATTCTCAAGCTAAGACATGCCGTGGCCTTTTCTTTTTCTTTTTTTTTTTTTTTGGCATCTGGCCAGTACAGGGATCTGAACCCTGGACCTTGGTGTTATAACACCATGCTCTAACCAACCGAGCTAACCGGCCAGCCTGCTGTGGCCTCTTCTACTTTATTTCTGACTCTGTCCATCTGCACACCCTTACTACTCAGGGAGATGCTTCCACCGGTCGGTCTCAGTGAGAGGCAGAAGGCAAGGGCCAGGCTATGCAGCACTGCCTCTTCCACCTGAGGTTGCATGAAAGAACTAAGCCCCAGAAAAAGTGATTCAAGCAACCATTTTCACATTGTCCCAAGGATGATAAAAAAAGACTATACTCTTCTAGAAACATACAGAGTACTTCAAAAAGTTCACAGAAGGGCTGGCCGGTTAGCAAGGTTTGATCCCTGTACTGGCCAGCCATCAAAAAAAAAGTTCATGGAAAGATTCGTATCTTTTTTTTTTTTCCTTTTTGTCTTTTTCTGTGACTGGCAACGGATTGCAACCCTCAGTGTCGCGCCCGTACCGGGACCGGCAACGGAATCGCAACCCTCGGTGTTGCGCCTGCACCTCGCTCAGCCAGTGAGTGGGAACCAGTCTGTATGTGGGATCCGAACCCTCGGCGGGAGCGTCGCCGCACTCCCAAGCAGCGCACTGTAGCAGTGCGCCACCGGGCTGGCCCCGTATCAACTTTTAATTCTATTTTTCCATAAGCTTTTTGAAGTACCCTTTGTAGGAGAGGAGTTCCCAATTGCCTGAGGGAAACAGGGTCAAATTTCACTTTGGTCAGTCTGTCACCCTGGCCCCGGACTTTAAATCTGGACACATGATCAGTAGCGAGAGAGGTGGCTGTGAGTCTAGCTGTGGTATCCTGGAGTTTAGCAGCCATGCTGACAAAAACACGTTCATCTTTGACATATGTTGATAGAAGTAAAAATATTTATTTTTTTAATATTAAAAATCTGGTCCCACGAAAAGACCAACACTTTCCTCAGTTCATGGTCTTGACCCTTCAAAGAAGAACTCATTCAACTGAGAAGTAAGGTAAGTCAATACAAGGAATTTCAGAGGTAGCTCAGATAAAATGATTTCTTATGAACCTGTAACACCCAGGCAACCTGGACTTCATGTTCACTGAGCTTCTTCTGTCATTCACAGTCCCTAAAGGAGAAAAGACAGTAAGAGGCTGTTTGCAGATAAGGCACTTCAGAAACCATCCAAGAGAAAATCCAAGCCCACCAGGAGCTGTGCTATGAACCTGTGGGCGCAGAGAGCCACCAGTGGACAGGAAGCTGACCTCCCACCTCCATGACAAGTTTCCACCTTCCTGCCCTAACACCGGTCCATCCGGCTTCCAGTGCTGGCCTCAGCCTTGCGTTGCCTACCTGGCCTGGAGACACAGAAACCAGGCAACTGGATAGAGATGACCACTGCTGCCTGAAGCTCAGGGCAGCTGGCTGACAATGAGGAATGCCTTCAGAAGGCCCTGCTGCGGCACACTGCAGGAGCTGTCCCTTTTGCAAAGGCAATGAATTAGTGCAGATTAGCACACTAGCAAAGCAAAATATTAACATTTTTAAAAAGTTGCTTAATCCTTCCAATTTCCCTCCTGATTGTCTGTTCAAGTTGCAGCCTATAAACCTGCTAGAAATCAGGAAGGAATCCCTCCTCTGGAAGGCACCTTGACTGAAGTGATACAGCCAGTGAGAGTGCAGAAAGCTCCCCCGGCCAAACAGTGATCACTTGACACCTATAACCCCTGAGAAGGGCTAATCTGAACCCAGACAGCAAACTCAACCCATTCTTTTGCTTTGGGGGCTTGTGTTTAATATGGGTCACTGTGACGGGAGAAGTCAAGTCTCAGAGTCTCTTTCATGCCAAGAGGACAGACAGGGATAAGGATCCTGGAGCTCTTCTTCTCTTGTGTTCTGGCTACATAGTCAAATCTCAAGAAAACAGTGCAACACGGTGCCAGTTCACTGCCTAATATGCCCAGTCTATCAAAAGAGTCAGGCAAGGAGGGGAGGAAGGAGTCATGCTCCCAACAGAGGCCAGCCAGGGAGTGCTTCGTCCTCCTTCTTTTGGCCCAGGTGAGACGGCTCTTTCCCAGAAGTTGTATGAGGAAAAAGAGTTGTGCTCTGATCAGAATTGGACCCAGCCGGTGCCTGGCTGAGTCTGGCTGGAAGTTGACCTGTAAAGAGAAGATAGGGAGGGGTGGGGGAATTCAGATGTTTGAAAATACAAAGCAGATAAAAGCTGGCCTCTCTCTGGGTAGAGAGAGCTCTAAGAAGTCAGGCCCTAAGTGTTCTAGGGCAACGGTCAGCAAACTATGGCCCAGGAACCAAATCTGGCCCTCTGTGTGTCTTTTTGTTTTTAATAGCTAATGTAAACTTCACTTATAAAAGACTCAAATTATTTGTATCACGCCTCTCTGTATGGTTTTGTAAATAAAGTTTTATAGGTACATGGCCATGCCCACTTGTTTTTATATTACCTATGGCTGCTTTTGTGCTACGACAGAACTGAGTAGCTGAAACAGAGACCATATGGCCCAAATAGCCTAAACGATTTGCTATCTTGTTCTTTACAAAATGTGTGCTGACCCATCCTAGAACATGTCCATATAAATAATGATGCAGTGGGAATTTAGCATCTTTTCACCCAGACCCTAAGTGAAGACTTTATAGAGTCAGAGAAGGCCAGACACCTTGTCTCAGAGGTCCCATGAGGACAGGCCAAGGCTAGAACCTCTCGGCCCAGTGTTCTGGAGTAGCTGGGGACAGGGGAGAGAAGGAAGTATTGGGGACAAGCCAAAGCACATGGTGAGGTGGTTTAAAGGACCACACAGATTTGCAAAAGGTAGCCCCAGACTACCTAGCAGTGGAGAACAGCAAAAAGACTTCACAGAGAAAAATGTGCCACCCAAAGCAGACATTCTGGGGCTCTGTCCTCTGGCTGGCCTGAAAACATCCAAATCAGAGCTGTTGTTCCCAGCGCTAGAAGGAAGGAATATGGAATGTTCCCAGGTTTTTAGAACAATAGGCTTGGCCCCAGTCCGACCATAGAATGTGGCACTCACCCTGTGGATGTGGTAAAGTCGCCCCAGACATCGGCAGTGGCAGCAGTGGCAGGCTTGGGCTGTGGCCAGGATACATTGGCTCCTCCTATTCATATCCCCAAGTCCAACAGGCAGGGAGAGAAGAAAAGGAGACAGGGGAGTCAGAGACTTCTCTCTTTGGTTGTCTCAGTGACCAAAACATGAGACTTAGTGAGCAACCTCATGATTCCGGGTGGCTGAGACACACAGACATGCTTTTGGACAACAGAACACCAGTGAGTTGCCACATTCCCACCATCTTCTCATGAGTCCTTGAGGGCTCCTGGAGCAAAAACAGCCACATACAAGGAGGAGGAAGAGGCACCAGTGAGGGTAAGTCACATGTCATCTACCACTCATACCCAAAGGTGACTTTGTTTTCAACTGTTTATGGTGAAAGCTGTCTAAAATTTACTACATCCTGCTCCAGGTTCTTGAATGCCCATCAAAATTGCAAGATCATCTTCATATAAAGCCTGAAGTCCAATGACTAGATCAACCAGCTGAGAACATCATGTGCCAGACATGTGCCAAGCCCTGGGGTTAAGGGACAGAGAGAGCCTTCCAGAAGAGGTAATACAAAAGCTGACCCTTGTGCATATCTCTTCACCAAGGCGGACGGCATGATGGGGCCACAGTGCCTGCTTTTCTGGCACCTCGCCCAGTGCTGCCAACTGTCCCTTTGTAAGGCCCTGTGCCTGCCGCCCTTGCCTTCCCACTTATTTGCTATTTCTAATCTGCTCTGGGCCAGGACACTAGATAAAGCTAGGGTACTCAATGGTTTAGAGTTTTACAGTTGATCAAGTGCTTAATGCACATTATCTCATGTGAACTTCACCACAGCCCCTAGGGGAAGACGGGTCAGAACTAGCCCTGTGAATTTGTGCAGGTCACTTAAGTTTCAGTTTTCTTGTCTCTAAAATGTGGACAATAACAATGACTACTGCATAGGACTGGTGTAAAGATTAAATGAGTTAATATATATGAAATGCTTAGAACAGGCCCGGCATATAGTAGTGATAACAATGACGATATTAATAAATATTAATAAATGAGAGCTAACATTCAGTGAGTGCTCTACTAACATTTTAGACAGTATCCTAAGTGTTAACACCTAAGTGTTATAAATGGATTAGCTCATTTGATCCTCACAAGAAATTGACATTGTAGGTATTGTTACCACCTCCAACATACAGCTGAGAAAACTGAAGATTACATAGCTGGGGCTGGCCCGGTGGCGCACTCGGTAGTGCGGCGCTTGGGAGTGTGGCGGTGCTCCCGCTGAGGGTTTGGATCCCATATAGAGACCGGTCCGCTCACTGGTTGAGCGCGGTGCGGGCGCAACCCCGAGGGTTGCGATCCCGTTACCGGTCACGAAAAAAGACAAAAAGGTAAAAAAAAAAAAAAAGAGATTACATAGCTGGGGCTGGCCCGGTGGCGCACTCGGTAGTGCGGCGCTTGGGAGTGTGGCGGTGCTCCCGCTGAGGGTTTGGAGCCCATATAGAGACCGGTCCGCTCACTGGTTGAGCGCGGTGCGGGCGCAACCCCGAGGGTTGCGATCCCGTTACCGGTCACGAAAAAAGACAAAAAGGTAAAAAAAAAAAAAAAAAAAGAGATTACATAGCTGGTAAGCTAGAATTTGAACCTGGCCAGTCTGGTTCTGGAGCATACAAGCATAGTAAGTGCTTAATAAATGTTAGCTATTCGTGACTTATCACCTGACACATTTTGTTTGTAGACATGCTGATTACCTGTCTAGTACGTTAAAACATAAGCCCTTGAGAACAGGGACTTTATGCCATACTTGCAGTATCCCCAGTGCCTAAAACCTGACGTAGCACATGGCAGGCTCTCCATATCACCTGCTAAAAATGTGTCAGCAACCAAGGGAATGCCTAAGGCACTGGCTCTCAGATCCTAGTGAGCATGCAAATAAGAATGTAAACAAGGGCTGGCTGGTTAGCTCAGCTGCCAAAAAAAAAAGAACGTAATTAAGAATGCAGATTCCTGCTCCATCCCTGGATATGCCAAGGCAAGTGGTCTTAGGGCCCCACTCTGAGAAATAATGCTAAAAAGATCATTCCTGGTGCCAGGGCAGGGACTCCCTGACTGTTACTCCTCCCACTCTCCTGGTTGGGGGTATTCTCCACAGGGCTGAGGTCTGAAGTTCAACCTCCCGATAGGAAAGCCAATGTCAGGGACTCTCAAGGATCAGGAAAGCAGACCCTTAAGAGCCATGTGGGGAAAGCATGCTGGTGACAATCCCCCAGCTTGGGGAAGGCCAAGAGCATCAAGCTGGGCTAGCAGGCAGGGTGGGGAGGCAGAGGGAAAGAGCTGGCATCCCAGCACTCAGAGGCTGGCAACTAGGCACTAACTTCTGGAATCCTGCGGTCCAAAGGGCTCATCAGCACAGCCTGCTGGGGAAGCTATCTCCCAGCTTTCCAGCACCCAACAGCATCACTGAAGAGCTAACTCCAAACTAAATTTCTAATTTTATTTCCCACGGCTCACCTTGGCATACCTCATGCTGCATCCATCTCCCTAAATACACCACACGTCTGAAAGTCTGAGCCTTATGCTCTTCTTCTGCACGGAATGCCAACCACCCCTACACCAATCTCCTTCCTTCAAGGTCCAGCCCGATGCGACCTCTTCCATGAAGCTTCCCCAGATCTTGCTGGCTAGTAGTAAGTCTGGGCCCCATACATTGGTCTTTGTGACTGTGACTCCTCTCTCCCACTAGATATGAGCAGAGACCTCGTGTCTCCATCACCCACTCACTCAATACCCACTGAGCAGTCACTGAGAAACAGGAACCTACACGCTGATGATTTCGAAAATGAGCCACAGACCTTGCCTATCAGGGGAGGGCACATACCATAAAGGGGTAAGTAGAAGGTGTTAGGAGAACAGAGGAACACCTTACCCAGCGTGTGCAGGATCAGCTTTGTGGTGCCCACCTTCCAGTTTGACCCATACACACATACTAAATGACAAATCAGTGCATGAAGGAGGGAAAGCCATGGGGCCCAGCTGCCAGACGGAAAAGGAGCCCACAGGTACAGATTCAACAGTCACCCTTGAGCACTGACCTGAACCAGGAGCAACTGCTGGCTGGCTGAGGGACCCTCCCACAGACAACGGCTCCCCAGGCGGAGGGATCAGGGTGGAGGTTTTGCCCCCTGGGGGAGGAGGAAGTAGGCTCAGCCCTCCTGTGCTGGCAGGCCTGGCTCGGGGAGTCCCGGCTGCTCCTTCCTTCTTCTTCATGTTCTAAAGAGAGGAGAGGAATGCAAATCAGTCAATTCTGCTGGAGTCCAACTGCCAGCAGAAAGTCCCATGAGGAGGGCCAAGGTGACCCCCAGACCCCAAAATCTGCATAACCAAAAGATGATCCTATCTAACACCTTCATTGTTATGAGCTATATTCACTGTATCACTATTCTGAATATATCACAAATATGGTTAATTTTAATTAAAACCCAGCATCCAACTTCTTTAATTATCAGGGAAATGCAAATCAAAACTACAATGATATGGGCCGGCCCGGTGGCGCACTGGATAGTGCGCCGCCTGGGAAGCGCGGCGGCGC